CGAGTGCCATGATTTCAGATCTGAACCTATTATGTTTTCATGAATATATGTGAGTTCTTGATCCTAGCTTGCAAGTTATAGTCACCTACTACGTGTTATGATCCGGCAAACCCCGGAGTGACAATAGTCGGGACACTTCCCGGTGATGATCGTAGTTTGAGGAGTTCGTGTATTCACCAAGTGCTAATGCTTTGGTCCGGTACTCTATTAAAAGGAGGCCTTAATATCCCTTAGTTTCCATTAGGACCCCGCTGCCACGGGAGGGTAGGACAAAAGATGTCATGCAAGTTCTTTTCCATAAGTATGTATGACTATATTCGGAATACATGCCTACATTACATTGATGAACTGGAGCTAGATCTGTGTCACCCTATGTTATAACTATTGCATGATGAATTACATCCGGCATAATTATCCATCATTGATCCATTGCCTATGAGCTTTTCAAATATTGATCTTTGCTAAGTTACTTTTCCGTTACTACTGTTACAAAACTGCTACTGTTACTCTTGCCACCGTTACCGTTACTCCCATACTACTTTACTACTAAATACTTTGCTGCAGATATTAAGTCTTTCAGGTGTGGTTGAATTGACAACCCAACAGCTAATACTTGAGAATATTCTTTGGCTCCCCTTGTGTCGAATCAATAAATTTGGGTTGAATACTCTACCCTCGAAAACTGTTGCGATCCCCTATACTTGTGGGTTATCATTAATCAGCCCACGACCTGCGGTACTACCGCTCAGACTCGCGGTACTCGACGCTGCGGTACTACCGCTCCCACGGCAGAGACCAGACGAGGCCCTGTTGCGTTAAAGAAACAAGCGGTAGAACCGCCGGAGCGGTACTACCGCGCGTCCTTGAGGTACTACCGCAAGGCAGGGTTCGACTAGGCTGGTAAGGCACGGACTAATAAAATTACATCTGTGGCTACTTCCGCTGAGTTTCAGTCTGTGCAAAAATCTGGCATAGTACTACCGCACGCTGGGAGTGGTGCTACCGCGTAGGACGCGGATGTAAAAAATTACTTCCGCGCACGTCAGTGTTCTGGGCTCGAGGCCATGGCACTACCACTCCTGAGGAGCGGTACTACCGCATAGCGCGGTACTACCGCTTCCCTGGCCGGTACTACCGTGGGCCACTGCGGTACTACTGCTCCCTTGAGAACTACTACCGCACGCCGCAGAACTATAGCACTTGGAGGCCTTCATTTTGTAAAGACACGGATAAATGGACGGTGCTCCAAAGAAGCAAAGGAAAGGTGGTGCAAAGGAACAGACGTGTATGTGTTGATTCCACCCTAACCTTTCCGAAGCAGATCCCCTCTTAATAGTACGACTTTCCTACGACTCAAATCCACCGAAAAGAAACATAGAGAAATGCCGTCTTCACTAGGCTCCGAGGGGCACCGAATCGTCTTGTGCCTAGACATGAGATATCTGAAATGCTCAATGCACACGATTAGTCCGCAAAAGCATTGTCATCGATCACCAAAACCACATAGGGAGAAATATGCCCTTACACATGGTCTCTGTCTTGTTGGTAAACTGGCACATGGCAAGTTGACACTTTTTTGTCGAAATTAAAGTACAATGTAGTCAAAAGTTCTAAGATGATTTTTTTGTTAGTTGATGAATGATTTTAGTTTGAATGGTTCACAAAACAATGCAATTAGATTACACTGTTGCATGCCTAAGGCTGAAACCCAGAATGGTCGTGCACCCAGTATGAAGAGTAACCATGCAATTAACAATGCAACACACTCATCAACAAAATCATTCAGAAAAACTGGTTGCATGCACTTCATTGAGATGTCACAAACACCAAGATTCATATCAAGGGCATTCCTAAGGTTCATAGCCTCAGGTAGACTTCACTTAGCCATAAAGATATCAGAAAACTAACAACAGGAGAAAAAGCAAACTAAATCAATGGATGGATAATCATGGCCGGCTGTCAATTAGTGTTCACTGTTAGAGAACAATGATACATCTTTGCAACAAAAAACAGACTTGCTACTTAAATTGTTTCTTGGTTAAAAGAACAAATCCCTCAGTTCTCACATATAAAGATGGACATCAACATACAATTCATGACCCAATCCTAACCACCGATTGTAGCATTAATTAATAAATTGATACAATTTTTCCATAGACGATACATTCTTAGATCTCTGACCACAATGGTCCCCCCATCCAGAGCTCCCCTGCACCGACTCAACCATGGTGGCCAGCGTTGCCACAATGCATCCGGAGACCCTTGTCCAAGGTTGTCTGCGGCAGCGCCATGGAAGGTCGAGCAGGTCCCCGTGCGGTCGGGCATGGACGCGACTCTCACCTTGGAGGTGGTTGATGCCGTGTTGGGTGAGCCAGATGTGAATCAGCCACATCCGTTGCGCTGCTTCATCCGGGCTTGCCACGTTCAGTGGTGTTGCGCCTGGACGTTTGACCTCGCCACACTGATCGCCTTTGACGAGCAGTACTACATCAACCTGTCTTCAGTGGCGGCTTATTGCGTGTACATGCACTAGCCTCGCCCTCTAGCTCTGGGCATAGGAAATTGAGTTGCTTGTTGCAGAGGACGCCTCGGTATAGAAAACTTGTTTATAAAAAAATGACTATTAGTCGTTCTTTTATAGACCAGGTTTTTAGGCTTTTGGAAAACCCGGTTTTATGTATTCACAATTCAGTTAGACAAAACAAACAAGGTTTTAGTTTGTTACAACAAAAAATTACGTTGAGAATAACTCATTTTCTATAACCTTTCTATCCAAACAACCCCTACATGAACAAAGACAATATTTTATCTGGTCATAGTGATGAAAACGCATTAGAACCAAATCATATAAACTTCCCTTCGTTATCTTAGACCTGGACACATTTTTCAATATGTTGATGTCTTTTGTTGGTCTTCCAAAACATCATGACACATTCATCTGGCGAACACAATCGAATATACCCAAATATGCCTTCTGGGCTGCAATTTTAAAGGTAAAACCCCTTCTTATCCCGACCTCTACTTATCAAATAGTTGATCTAATAATTCAATATGGAGTATGCCTTGGTTTGAAGGGTGTGAAACAATTTATGATAACCTAATAATCCAACAACAACCTTATGTTTACCCTGCTCAAATCAAAGACTTGTGGATACCTGGCCAAAAACTTTGGAACGCAAATTTGATAAATTATTTGTTTAGTTCTACAACAGCTAGCTCAATTCTACAAGCTCCTATTATAAATGCTGATGGTCAAGATATTTTAGTTTGGAAGCTAACCCCATCAGGCCAATTTTCGACTAAAAGTGCCTACAAGCATTGCTTCAACAGCCTGCAGCTTCCTCTGAGGCAGAGGCCGACAACTGTATCCTCGTAGTTTATTTCTTTGCCCGATCAGGTGTGGAAAGAAAACCAAATGGCGCCAATGATTCAAACTTCCGCTTTGAGACTTCTTAGGAATGCTCTACCTACCGGCAAGAGAGGAGGTAAGTACTCAAAAAAGACAGTCAATATCGTTCTAGTTGTGGAAACCTTGAAGATGAAATGCATCTCTTCTTTCTATGTCCAGTTTCAAAAGCAGCCTGATATTGCTTTCCTTGGTTTATTAAAACTGAATTTCTTGCCCAACACAGTGGTACAATTCCTCACATGATATAGCGCTTGCTTTCTTCTCAACATCCATAGATAAATGTAAACTCTCTCTTCACTTTCTGTGGTGTATTTGGAAAGCTCAAAATGACTTGACTTTTTGCAGGAAATCTTGTAGTCCTTCCCATGTTTACGTGGCCGCAGTGGCGAATTTGCAAGGAACAAAACTTGAGCTTTCAGTCCCTTCCCATGTCAGTATTATAGAAGTTAATACCCAATTACACATGGAGCATGTTGTGTGAGTCCAGGAGGATCATGCCTCCCTTCATAGTGTACCACATCCAGAAAGCACAGTTAGGGATATCTCTAGTTTTACAGGTCCTATTATATTCTCGGATCCCTCTTGGTTTTGTAGTTCGGATGGCCAACCGACACCTATTGGATTAGGTATATTCATGCGGTTGGGAGGCGACTGGACATGCTCAACTTCGTATCTCGGCTATCTCTCCACTAGTGGCTTTTGCCATCCAGACCGAAGCTTTCAGTTTGATGCTTGCGCTGCAGGTTTGCTTCAGCTTCAGCGGGCCACTTTCCTGACGGACAATGCAACATTGGCGAAGGCGGCAACATTCAAAATCTCTTCGTCACTCCGGGTCGCTGGACCATCAGCCGCAACTATCCCAAATGGCAACTTCTTCAGCCTTCAATGCTTTCGGGATCTACCACATTCATAGGAGTCAGAATTATCGAGCACATCACTAGGCCAAGCTAACACTAAAGATTCAAAATAGATGTTCATGTTTCAGATGTTTAGCTTCTAGCAATGAGAATTGTCTCAATACAACTGTTTTTGCAGATGGTCCTATGTTGCAATGCACGGTTGTATATGTACGCTGCTGCTAGATCGATGAAATATCCCATGTTCAAAAAAAAAAAACATCAATCAATGGCAACATGCTACTAGTAGTTGGCAAGAATTCCTTTTTCACATATTCATTTTTTCTGCAAGCTCCACCTTATATAAGTTTTTTTTGGCGAGTACACCTTATATAAGCATGTCATAGTTTGTACATAGTATTATCTCTTTGTAGTTAATACATGTGGTCCTCTTCAAATGTAAATTCGGAGTTAAACGAGAGGAAACTCTTTGTGGTGTAATAGAAAGGACCTTCTTGTGAAAAAGGACAAATGCTTTGTACTGTAGAACCAAATCTGCCTCTTTATTCTTAAAAAAAGAAAGAAAATTTCCGCCTCTTTATTTTGGCCATGCGCGCCCTTCGTAAAAAATCTCCAGTAATTTCGAAATGGTTGGCCTATAACCTAAAGCGCATCCTCAAAATACGCCACTTCTCGTCTCTCTCTGCCAAACCCCTCTCCTCCCCTCTCTTGCTGGCGGCGGCCGCACCCCAGCAATGGCCGGCCCGCGGTCGTCGCCGTCACCGCCGCCGCTGCAGGCGCGCTCCGCCGACGGAGGCGCCCACCTGTCCCTGTTCCTCGACACCGACCTTGGCACGCACCTCGCCCTCAACGTCGCCGCGGACTCCACCATCCGCCGCCTCAAGTGTACGCCTCTCGTCGCCTCCCCTCCCCTCCTCCTATCAAACCCAAACCGGGAGAACTTTATCTGATTCGCCTGTTTGCTTCCCCGCAGCGCAAGTGGCCGTGGAGCACGCCGCCGCCTTCCCCGACCTCGGCCCCGTCGCCGTCAAGTCCTTCCAGGTTCTAGTTTACGGCTTTGATCCTTTCCATGTTTTTACATGATTTTTTTATCTGGATGTTAGAGTAGTAAGCTCCTCATGGTCTCTTAGATTTCGTGTATTTTGACATGTAGTTTGTCTCGTGTATGGACGTTTCGGTGTAGGTTTTCCAGTATTTTGTTAGGTGATCAGATGCTTTAATATGGGCACGTTTTACTTAATTGGCGTCTCATCAGCTGGGAGCATAGTGCCTCCAAACCCCCAAACCTCAATAAACCCTGCCTCCGAATTAGTGTGTATGGTTCTTCAAACGCCTAATGGAGATTGAGCCAACTAACAATTCTGGTTTCTTTGATAAAAAATGCAATAGATGGCTATCAAAATTTACAAAGTTCATTGAATATGTACATGAATTGTGATTCTTCAAAGATGTATATCTTGATTCTGATAGTCAGGCAACTCATTTCCCCCCTCGTAGTCCTGGACTGAATGGCATGTTCTTCCGAAACTCCATACAGTTAGCATGTGCAATCTGGAGACCCTCAAAGGGTAATGCAAGTTTCTAAATGTGTTAGTATTTCCGCCAGGTGCTACGTAAGGGTGCAATGTACCACCTCTCTGATTCGATGGCAGTGAGGAGTGCATTTTCCAAAGTCAAAGCTGGGTGCTTTCTGCATGTCAAGATGGCAGCAGTTGCGACGGACTCACACTACTGCAGAGATGAGGATAGAGGGAGATCAAGTAGAGGTTGTCTTGGAGTTGATATGGACAAATGTCTTATGGAGTTGCCTGCAACAATATCAGGTGGTGTAAATCCTCAAATGCTGGAAGGTATTGAGTTAGCATCCACTGTGGCATTTGAATTGTATTAATTGTTGTGTCAAGTTAGCATTGCTACTGTTTTGTAGTTTGCTTATTGTTGGTTAATGTCTTATTCTGGATATGAGGTTAGCTATTCAGTTGAATTGATCATTCAAGTTTTTTGTGTTTCTGAACCGAACCTTTGTATCAAATCTCCTGTGTATGGTCAACCTACAGCTCCTTCTCACTCAGTGGAGGCTGTGGATTTCTTTGACATGCTCGAGTCAGAATGTTCTTTCTCATGCATATGATTAACCTCTTGTGAGTATGCATGTAAGTTGTAAAAATTATGCTGTCCGTAGTTGTATCGTCTGTTGAGTCATGAGGTTGAACCTGCTAATATTGTTGATTTCCCTTCATATGGTTTATGCTGAGTTATTTTAAAATCTAATAGTTCATGTGCTTTTGTAGGTAGTGAGGAGGCTGCAGCATTGCTTAATGTTCATGCACATGATGCAGTGCCAAATGATGTGCAGCTGTCATCCTCGTCACATCCGAATACGGAAACAAAGAAGGATGCAGCAGTAAGCCTGGCTACTGATGTACAAACAAATTCTGTGGCAAATGTCAGTAGATTTTCAAATCAAAGCAATGTGGCCCTGGTTGGAGAGGAGTTTCTCGCACGAAAGGAAAACCTTCTGCATAGTGTCGAAGACCATGATCTTGGTGTTGTTTCTGGTGACAAACAAGCGGGGATAAGGGAAGGAACAGTGGGAGAACTTCATGCACTGGATGATCCCTCTCAGGAAAAGGAGCGCAAAAGGGCTAGAAGGGCTGATTCTGTTAACACGTCAGCTGTAGATCCTGTTAGAGAAACTAATGATTACAAAACCAGGGATGTGAATAGCTTGGATAAGCCTTCGTTGGAAACAAACACTAATTCTCTTGGGGTAATTCCAAGCAATTCTTTTCAGCAAGAATCACATGGAAATGCACAAGAGGATCTAATCCAGCCTGAAAATCCAGTCATTCCTGGAAAGAATAAGAAAAGGAAAAAACATCAGTCAGTCTCTCCCAAAGATGTTTCTTCCCAGGAAATAACAAAACCATCAGCTGGAACAGTGGAGGAACCAAAAGCTTTAGATGGAGGCCTGCTTCATGAAAACCAAGGGCAACAAGGTGATGGTGCAGATAATGTTGAAATGACTAGCAGAGACAAAGCAATGGTCAGACCATCTGACATGCATCTTCCATCATCACAACTCAGTAGTGGAAGCCAGTTGGGTACTGATGCTCAGGCAACTACTGATCTAGTTGCTGACAAAAGTAACATCGATATTGTACATGAAGGATCTGGAAATCAGGCAGTTGGAGAGACCAGTAATTCCACTTGCAAAGTTGTAGCTCGTGAAGAAACAATTGCAGAAGGAATCAATGATGAATATCATGATGAAAGAGCAGTTGAGGTAAGCAACATGGAGAAAGGAAGTAAAAGCGAGAATGTCTTGGATATGGCAGATACAACCGGTAATATTTCTCATGAGAAGAATTGCCAGGAATCAAATAAGGTTAGCTCTGTTGGCCTATCTTCCATGGATACTGCTGAAGCAAAAGACCAGTCTGGGTATAGCGAGAAATCAGCCAAATCAGATATAGTGTCTACTCAGGGGGAGATCTTAGATGACCCTTATAAGCGGCACATCGCAAGTAATGTGCAGCGAGGGGATTTTAATGTCATAGAAAATTCAGATGGTGATGGAAAGCTGAAGAAGAAGAAAAGGCGCCACTCGGAGTCTTCAAAGGATGGTCCTACTACTCAATGTATGACAAAACCATCTGGCTCCATTGCAAATGCTCAGGTGGAGACTGTAAATGAACCAAGCAAGGTGAATCAAGGGGATTCTACTGTAACAGAAAATCCAACTGGTGATGGGAAGCGTAAAAAGAAGAGAAAACTCCGCTTGGAGTCTTCAAAGGATGATCCTTTGACAAAATCATCTGGACTCACTACAGGTGGAAGCTCGGCACAACATACAAGTGATGATCCCCTAAATGCAGAGCAAACAACACAAGGCACTATAGGAGAAGCAACGGGTAGTGATTGCAGGAAGCTTGATGGAACCGCGGATGTAGCAGCAACCAATGTGATTAATGAGGTATTGGCAGATTTAGGATGCACAGACAACTTAAGTGGAGATCCAGTAAAGGAACATACTGAAGGTGTTGTTAGTGCAGCCTTACCTCCGAAATATCCAGCAGATAATCAGTCTGATGATCTTAATGATGTTTTGACTGAGAATACAGTAGTGCCAGCTGATGGCAGAACCAAATCCAGTAAGCGTCAGAGAAAGAAGACTTCATTAAAGCATGTCTCTACTGATAGCAGTAAAGATATTCAGTCTTTGGGTGTGCAAGTCAGACAGGTTCCCACAGAGGACTTGGAAGGAGGAAATGACACCAAAGAGGAATTGCTTCTGGAAGGTTCTTCAATTGATGCTCCTGCAAGTACTTGTCAAGTACTACGGCAGAAAAGCAAAAAGTCTTTGAAGACTCAGACTCCTACAATACAGGAAATAAATCATCCTACACATGGACAAGATAATCAGTTCATAAAGGATGACCAGGAAAAATATGTAACTGATGGTGGGACTCATAATGACAAAAATATAGTAGGAGCTCCAACAGAACCATCAGTAGTTCATAAAGATGGCACAATTATCACACGTGATAAGCCTAATGCTCGAAAGGGAAGGAAGAAATCTTCCAAGACCGAACTTCAGAGTCAGGATACTGCTTTGGAACAAGGTTCTGTTGCAGATTTGATGAACTCCAGTGCTCTGGAGGGAGCAGCTATTCCTAAAGGTTCTGCTGGTGCTGTTGAACCAAATGATCCTGCAGCGATTCGTTCTGAAAATGGCAAAATTAATTTCTTGGACCATTTTAGCCCCAGTGGGATGAATGGCCCATCTGTTTCTGCAGAAAACAATGATGAAACTACTATAAAGGAAGTTAAGGGCAAAAAGAAAAGCAAAAGAAAACCAGATATGCAGTCTCAACGTGCTGGTATTATTGAACCAAATGATCTGCCAGAATCCCATCTTCATATAGATAAAACTAGTGTAGCTGATCATTTTGATACTGGCAATGTGGGTGTGCCATCTGTTTCAGCAGAAAACACGAACAGAGAAGATGGTAATGTGGAAAAGGCCAAGGAGAAAAAGAAGAGCAAAAGAAAGCAGGATTTGGTCAAACCCGAGTCCGAAAACCCTATTGGTAATAATGAAGACACTGATAATTGTTCGCAAAATTTGCTGCATTCTGTTGTGCAGAAGGGAAGAATAGAACAGGGCAATGCAAAAGAGAACAGTGATAAAATTACCAAGAATAATAGTATGCCGCAACAGGAGACCGAAGCAGAAAACATTAACAGAGAAGATGGTAATGTGAGGAAAACCAAGGAGAAAAAGAAGAGCAAAAGAAAACAGGATTTAGTCAAACCCGAGTCTCAAAATGCAGATGGTGGTAATCAAGATACTGATACTTCTGCACCGCAGAAAGGAAGAATGGATCGGGGCAATGCAAAAGAGAAGAAGGATAAAATTACTCAGAATAATAGTATGCTGCAACAGGAAAAAGAAGATGCCACACGTGATAGCACTCTTGAAAAGAAGCCCCGCCAAAGCAAGGTTGGTGCTGACAATCAGACTGATTTGCCCATTGAGAAGGACCATGCACCCATGGGCAAAGAACAAATGAACTCTACTTCTCAGACAAAGCATCATGGTAAGAATAGAAAACATGACGGGTCTATTGATGGGAGGGCAAATGGAAATCCTAAGGTTGTAAGCAATGTTGTTCAGAGCAGTCCCATGAGCCCACAAGCATCAAATGAAAGCACTTATGGCACACCAGCTGTTAACCGATTTAGAGTAGCAGTTCGGAAAGTTCCAAGAAAAAAATATGAACAGCTCAATGACAAATCCAAGAAGGATACCAGTAAGAGAGGCGCTAGCGCAATTTTCAGTGACACCATAAGTGAAGACTCTGATGAACTATTGAACACCATGGATGAAAAGGCTGGCGTGGAAAACTCATCAGATGATTCATCCACATCTGCTGACTCAGGTAGGAACATGTAACATGGAATAGGTACTAGCTGGCCAACTTTATGCTGGATTGCATTTGCACTTGTTATGCATTTATTTACTTACTGAATATAACTGCTTCTTATCTTTTATGTGTTCCTCTGCCGTGGTGAACTCATTCCAAAATTCTTGCTTTGCTTTGATAAATTCCCCTTTTCAGTATTCAGTGTATCTCCAGAATGGCACACAATACACTGACTTTGCATCTGATGATATGTCCACTAGTGGAAATTGGCTAACTGATGTGCATTCAACAGGAATTTCATCCACGGCCTGGGAGGGAAGCGACGTACCTGATGATGAAGGCATTGCATCGTTGTAAGTTCTTGAATCTGTATATTAAAAATAACTAGTTTGGATAGAACTGCTTGACTAGACGAACTAGTTTAGCACACTGCAAATGTGAACAAGCGAGCAGGGTGCACATTAATGTACTATGGTAGCTATGTTGTAGCCGTCTTGTATCCCCACTGGGCGTAGATGCATGCACGGTAACATTTTGGATAAAACTGCTTGACTAGATGAACATAGTCCGATTTTCGCCTTTTCCTGGTCTACAACGTTGAAGCTTGCTGAGACCTGAGTTGCTTTGATCCCATTTGTTCAGGTCACAGAGGAGTGACATCAACTCTGTCCTCCGAGGCTCCAGTAGCTACAAGAAGGCGAGGCTGAAACCAACCGAGCTGCTGGAGGACACCGAGGTGCCTGATAGCCAGCCTCCAGACAGTCTTTGGGGCTGAATCGGACCTGGTGCTTAAATCAACGCGAGTCTCACGCAATTCCCAGTTTTTTTTTGCGCATTTGTGGATTTAGCTGCTGAACATGTTAAAGTGAAGTTCACACCTCCAGATGTATTGAGTTTGTGGTCGTGACTGTCCTCAAAATTCGTCAATTGTCCTTTTTACCGTGGCTATTTTGGTGTCCTGTTGTTGCCTGTGGATGAGTTGACGAAGTTTGTGGAACAAATTAGCCGGTAACAAATTCACAGTCAAGCTTTGTTTAATGCAATTTCTCCTCGTGATATCAGAGACAAGTTCAAATGTTTACATTTTTTGTAGTAGTTTGGATTGCTTATCACATGTCACGTGGTAGTTCAAACGCTAACATAGTAGCGAGACCTTGCAAGATTTCTCATAAATGTAGTCTGCAAAAACCAATAGCAGCAAATTACACAACAAAACTTGCAACAACTCAAGCTACACCTAAGAACGCTCAAGCTGTTTCTCTTTTACACATTTTTACAGAGCTGGTCTCTCACTAGCTTGTCAACTACGTACACAATACACAGCCAAAGACTCGGCTATCACGGGGTGCGAGCCTTCCTTGTTACTTGCGCTTCTGGATCTTCATCCGTGATGTTTGCCGTCTTCCCAACGGATTTCTGGCTAAGCATTCGGGCAATACCGCCTCTCAACCTTAACGCTTGGGATCCATTGGCAGGCAAGCTGCCACCCATCGTCCTCTCGAGCTCCGACAACAGAGACTTCACAAGAACATCGAAACGGCGCTTGGATGTAGGATATCTCGATATCGACTTTGTGATTCCTTGCAATCTTTGATGATACAGAGAAAGAGCAGGCGGTTTAGCAAATATCAGTGATAGTGTTGACCAAAATGAAAGAATGAGCAGGGCGGTACCTTCGAGCAAATGCGTCGATTTCTGCTTTTTTCCGCTCATTCAGTGATGGCACATGAGGAAGAGTGCCCTTGAGGTTACTGGGCTCACCAACCATCAGGACTCGCATTTTGAGGTATTCTTCCTCTTCTTCTGTGAAATTCTCGGCTTTAATTTGTTCCTTGATGATCATAAGAGGGTCGAAGAACCAGTCAAAGAGAGTGCTTTTAGGCCTATTATCAGATGTAATCTCAGCACCATCACCTGAATATGTTCCAAATCAGGTCAGGCTAAGGTAATCATAACACCCTTCTGGTAGTGGTGTAACAAGAAAGTTTTTATGTGAACTTACTCAAGATTAGGCCATTAGAGTTAGATTTTGCAGACCGAAGGAGGGCATTAAGGATTACATATGCCGGTAATCCAACGTTAAGAACCCCACTGCCAACTTTGCCTGACTTCGTTTCTTGGATGTCTTTCATTGTTATCACTCCTTCGTTCACCAAAATCTCTCCCTGCCGCTTGCATTCAGCAAATAAGTGGTCCAGCATCTGCATAACAGCTACAATCGGTTATATGCCCCGATTCTGTAAGTTCAAATATTATCAAGGAATAGAAAGCAGTAGATAATGACATTTACAAAATTGGATAACCTATTCCCAACATGTGCTATTCCTATTGGACTGTACAGAAAGTGAAGCTGGTCACAAGACGCAGAAGCATTGTGATCTACTCCCCCCGCCCCAAAATAAGTGTCTCAACTTTGTACTAACTTTAAATGACGTAAGGAGGGAGTACTGATGTATTAGCAAGAAAAGATAACCTTGAATGGATTGAACTCATCCATGCTGTTCTTAAATGATGTAACACGGTTTAGAGGTTTCTTTCCTTCTTGGTTCTCCTTGTCGAATGAGCCTGGCTTAGATAGGTGACCACCATGTGAAGAATCTTCATTTTTCTGTTTCCGATATTTCAACCTAGAGAGTTCAAATGTCAGTACAAGAAACCTCAAGTTATTTATGATTTGATCCAAAGGCATGCAATATGGTTTATGATTATACCTTGGAAAGCAAGATCCCGGTGCCATGTCAAGTACATCATTCGTGTACTCATCAAAGATGGACACAGATGAGACAGCATAAGAGAGTCCCATGACTACAGAGGATTCCTGAGAAATCAACATGAGCAAGGCTCCATGACTTCAACAAGAAAAAGGATATTGCCTAGCATTTGCCACTAGATGATAATTTGTGTAAGTACAAGTTGCCATACCTGGTAAGCTACAACTGCACCAAACAGGCCTAAAGGAATACTGGAGAGGATAGATGCAAGAACAGCCCCTAGTACCGCAAATGGCCAGAGAAGAATAGCAAGACCTGCGAATGGCACACATGCTGTCTCCAGAAAAGGTCCTTCTCTCCCAATCAAATCCTGAATCAGTCGTTTCCACCCTTTGAAAAGCATCACAGGGCACTTGTAGATGGCAATTAGTGTGAACATTATTACATCCAGTATGAGTCCACAAGCAGCAGACAACAACGCCCCAGGAATATCAAGCAATCTGCAGGAGATATTTGTACTCAATATTTATAGTTCATAATTCTTCAAGGAAGAACAAAAAGAGATGTGCTGCCTAAATACATAGCACTGCATCTAGGGCTCATTTCTCTCGGCTATGAAGTCAACCATAAAAGGTGCTAGTTTGCATATGTGATGAAGGTCATATAAGTTAAAAGCTAGTACTAGACACAAACAGGAAGCAAACCTTATCTCATATGGCTTTCCACCAGGAGGTGTCTGAAATCGAAGGTCATCCATAATTGAAAAATAGGAGTGGAAAAGCATGTCTTTCAAATCCCTGACCACTGTACAACTCCCAGTAATAGTGCTCCAAGTTCCATCCTGCAGTTTTGAGATGGTAGACATGTAAAATATGTTCTAACAAAACAGGAGGGGCATAAATACAAAGGAATGGCATGTTTCCAGAAAAGAAAATTTACCACAAAGCAATGAACAAATGTATTTTCTTTGCCTTCTCCAACTGCATCGAATGTGGCCATTATTGGTGCTAGAAAGCCATATAATAATCCAGCCAAAACGCTTCCCGGGATGCCAACTATCAACCATAAGAACATGATCACAGTGGCAGCAACAAGAAGTAGAAGCTTTACTACAGGTCCAACCATTCTGGTTCTGCCTTTGAGAAAAAGAAGACACATAATATGAGTATTTGGACGCATATTAATGTGCTTGCTAAGGGTGAAACTGCAGAATATAGACACTGTACCTGATGATGCAGTAGTATGTCCAAATCAGATGCATAGGCCATAACCCAAGAATTAGTGCAGATATTCCGATTGCCATAATAAGGCATGCCCAAGGGCATAGCAGAACACCTGTTAGAGTTGATTATATGAAGTGAGGGGACACGATACATAGTTTAAATATGTAGAAAAATCAAACAAAGATGAACTAACAACACAAATAGAAGTATTTAAGCACATAACATCGTTGCACTTTCAGATTTTACATACATTGATCCCCATGAAACTTTGTCACTCATTTGCAAATCCATGTGTGAACTTGCATTCACACATCAACAGCCGACATAATTGAACTGAAAGCTTTCGAAAAATACAACAGATCCACAAGGTCAAATATGTACTGAACACTTCGTGGTTTCATTCGTAAAAAAACAAAAAAAACATGGACGCAATACATACTAAATACTTCTATAGACGAGACAAAGAGAACATTTTCTGAGACTAGTTTCCAATTGATGCTAGTTCTGACAAAACAAGCACGAGATATTTTTGTGCAAGAAACCACAAGATTTTTTAGGTTGAAGCATATGTAAAAGATCCCATATAGCCTTATGGGTGAAAGATTTTTTAGGTTGAAGCATATGTAAAAGATCCCATATAGCCTTATGGGTGAAAGTGCATACTGTCTGTCCATAAAGGGTTATTTGATAATTATTAAAACATAGACACTGTTATCCAATAACGAACAGAGTAAACTGAAATGACACCAGTCCATCAGTTAAACCAACAACTACTTTTCAAAGCTAATAACTCAAGCCAGGTCACAATCTGGTCATATAGCATAACTAAAGCTGGAACAACATAGTGAGCAACAGTTTTAGCTGGGCCTAATTAAGTGCTCCAAGAAAGGAGAAGTACCAGCCTATCAGGCATCTACACAAGCAGCAGAGAAATCAAGAGGCTGGCATACAAGGCAAGCAAATGTACAGGCACATAGGACCATTCCATTTTACTCACACATGACAGATCAGACTTGCACACTAAAAGAAGCAACAGAGTAGAGAGACCAGGATGTCACCTTTAATGAGCCCAAGGATGAAGAGGCCGCAGAAGTAGGGCAGGAACTTGATGAAGGTCCAGAGAGAAGCCCAGAACCTGCTGCTACTAGGCGGCTCCATTGGCAACTTCTTCTTGAGCCTTGGTCGGAGTCGGACCAACCAAGAAGCAGGAGCCCGAGGAGGCCAAGACTCCAAAACACCCCAAATTCGGAGCACCAAGGAGTTTCAGGAGAACCAGAATCCTCCTCACCAGGAATCCTTGGTCACCCAAAACTTGGCAAAACCTTGGACAGTTGGGAAGCAACGAGCGAAACCCCAAACACAAGCAAGGCTAGAATACCTAGATGCCTTCCTGGGAGGAGTAAGAGGAAATTGCACTGTTTTCAACAACCGGGGACGAATTTCTCATTCAAACCGGAGAGCAACAACGACATCTCGGCAGAAAAGGAAGGGAGTAAAAATAAATCAAGGACCAGGCAAGCACGGACGGACCTGACTGAAGATTCGGACCACCCCAAGACGATGCAGGGAGGGACAACCTAGGAAGGACTAGAGTGCCAGCGCCAGCAAGACGACAGGGGCAGTGGGCCCTCCCTCCGGCGGGAGACAAGCCCGTGCCGTTGGAAAGCTTGGTTGGAGTTGGAGGGGAGCCTTGCCGACGCAAAAGCGCAGGGAGATGGGATAGATGGTCGGGGCCGGGGCCGGAGTGGTTACACCAGAAAACGAGCAGCGAAAGGAACCGCCACGGCGCCCATTGGTGGTGGGACTGGGCTGGCTCGGCTGGCTTCAGAAACCGCCCCGGGGGGCGAAGGATCCGATGCTGGGCGGGCTCCGGGGAGGTGGGGAGGAGGGGGAAAGGAGGGACTGTGGTGCAGGCGCAGATTCTTGCTTCCTTTTGGGTGGGGTGCGGGTGCAGGAGGAGGAAGAAGGGATGTAGATTGCGTCGTGGAAGTGGAAGCCTCGTGCTCTGCTTCTTGTTTAGTGGGAGCTTTTTCGGCTGCGGTTGCCGTGGAGGGGGAGGGGGTTTGCGGTGCGCGGCGCAGGCGGAAGGGGAAGGCAACGGCTCCGGACGCGCGGGGCGTGAGACCGACGGGAGGCGTTAACACCGACCGTTTACCTGGGTGACACGGTTCATCAGGTACGTACTGATGACATGTGGACTCTTTGCCTTTTCCTGCCCAGCGAGGGCGACGTGTGGACTAGGGTCCTCTAGCGGGTCCCCACGCGCTGATGCTGTCACAGATCTAGGGAAATTACCGGTGACTTCAGTTCTGTGATCGTAGTGATTTCGAGCGAGCATGCCTGTTTGGCAGCCGAGAGTTGACTCGCCAGCGTTCGACGTCCTAACATTTGGGCACCTTAAAACTTGCCAAAAGAAAACCAACAGGTTTTGAGAGCATGGCAAGATAAATAGGTAGTCACAAGTCAATTTTTTTGGTACTACTAAACTAAGCAGGCTATTCATCTGAGGGATTCTCCTCCTTAAAAAGGAAGTAAGTTTCTGCATTGCTTCGTTCCTCGTCCAACCTTGTATGCATTCTCCCCTCCATTTTGTTTTCCAGAATGCGCATGAGACTTGCGCGCCACTTCATTAAGAAAGAAGAATAGAGTTTGAAGATGTACTCCATCCGTTCCTAAATATTTGTCTTTTTAGAGATTTCAAATAGATACCACATACGGATGTATATAGACATATTTTAGAGTGTAGATTCACTCATTTTACTCCGTATGTAGTCATTTGTTGAAATCTCTAGAAAGACAAATATTTAGGAACGGAGGGAGTATTTTTTTTGAGAGTACGCCAAAGGCGTGCCGTAACTAGAGTATAATTACAAGAGGCCAAGTAGGGATGCGAACATCCCAAATGGCAACCCACCCACACCACGCCAGACAGACAGAGACACCTAGATCACTCTCTCACAAAAGGGTCTAGGCCTCCAACACCGAAACCAACAAGTCTCCATTCCTTGATCTCTTGGAATACCTACTCGACTAGCTGGATATGAGTTTTTTGTTGGTGTGCTCAGTTGAACACCCTCGTGTTTCTTTGCTTCCACAACGCCCAAGCCGTCCCTATGATGAAGGAGTCGAACCCGCGGACGGCCTTGCCGGTGAGGTTTCTCCTCTGCTGTAGCCACCAATCTTGAAACGTACTCGAGTGAGTCGGAGGGTCGATGTTCACCTGCAGGATGTCGAAGGATCGATGCCAAACCTCCCTAGCATAGACGCATCGAACGAGTATGTGGTCGACATTATCCTCCTCTTGTAGGCACATGAAGCAAGGGGAAGGTTGATCTTGTAACCCGTGTTGCGCTCGCCTGTCAGAAGTCCATAACCTGCACCGTGAGCCACACGAAAATTTTGCACCGCAGCGGTGCCCAACTCCTCCATATGCCCGACGCCGTGGGTGATCTGGTAAGGCCCAAGCAGAGCCTTTGGTACACCGACTTGGCCGTGTAGGCCCCGGTCGCGTCTGCTGGCCATGTGAACTGGTCGGCCCGCTCCTCATTGCGCGATACTGTAGTGATCACATGTCAGAGATTGGCAATCTGAATGTGCGCCAAGAAGGAGATATCACCTTGCACATCTAATGACCACGCGTTTGAAGGAAATATGCCCTAGAGGCAATAATAAAGTTGTTATTTTATATTTCCTTACATCATGATAAATGTTTATTATTCATGCTATAATTGTATTAACCGGAAACTTGATACATGTGTGAATACATAGACAAAACACCGTGTCCCTAGTATGCCTCTACTTGACTAGCTCGTTAATCAAAGATGGTTAAGTTTCCTATCCATGGACATGTGTTGTCATTTGATGAATGGGATCACATCGTTAGGAGAATGATGTGATGGACAATACCCATTCGTTAGCATAGCATAATGATCGTTCAGTTTTATTGCTACTGCTTTCTTCATGTCAAATACATATTCCTTTGACTATGAGATTATGCAACCCCCGGACACCGGAGGAATGCCTTATGTGCTATCAAACGTCACAACGTAACTGGGAGATTATAAAGATGCTCTACAGGTATCTTCGAAGGTGTTTGTTGGGTTGGCATAGATCGAGATTATGATTTGTCACTCCGAGTATCGGAGACGTATCTCTGGGCCCTCTCGGTAATGCACATCATATGAAGCCTTGCAAGCAATGTGATTAATGAGTTGGTTGCGAGATGATGCACTACGGAATGAGTAAAGAGACTTGCCGGTAACGAGATTGAACTAGGTATGAAGATACCAACGATCGAATCTCGGGCAAGTAACATACCGATGACAAAGGGAATAACATATCTTGACATAGCGGTTTGACCGATAATGATCTTCGTAGAATATGTGGGAACCGATATGAGCATCCAGGTTCCGCTATTGGTTATTGACCAGAGAGGTGTCTCAGTCATGTCTACATAGTTCTCGAACCCGTAGGGTCCGCATGCTTAACGTTCGATGATGATATGTATTATATGAGTTATGTGTCTTGGTGACCGAAGGTTGTTCAGAGTCCCGGATGAGATCATAGACATGACGAGGAGTCTCGAAATGGTCGAGAGTTAAAGACTGATATATTGGAAAGTAGTATTCGGACAACGGAAGGGTTCCGGAGTGTATCGGGTACATACCGGAGTACCGGAGGGGTTACCGGAACCCCCCGGGGAAAGATATGGGCCATATGGGCCATAGGAGGAAGACACACCAGACCACAAGGGGCCGGCGTGCCCCTCACAAGGGAGGAGGCCGAATTGGAGTAGGGAAGGGGGTGCCACCCCCTTTCCTTCTCCCTCTCCCTCTCCTTCCCCCTTTCCCCCTCCGGTAAAAGGAAAGGGGGGGGGGGGGCGAATCCAACTAGGAGTCCAAGTGGGACTCCTTCCACTTGGCGTGCCTAGGGCCGGCCTCCTCTCCTTCCCTCCGCGCCTAGGGCACACCAATTGTTCTAAGCCGTGTGCGGCGCCCCCCTCCACAGTTTACGCCTCCGGTCATATTCTCGCAGTGCTTAGGCGAAGCCCTGCGCGAATCACATCACCATCACCGTCACCATGCCGTCGTGCTGACGAAACTCATCTAATCCTTCGACCCTCTGCTGGATCAAGCGCTCGAGGTACGTCATCGCGCTGAACGTGTGCAAAACTCGGAGGTGCCGTACGTTCGGTACTCGATTGGTAGAAACGAGAAGACGTTCGACTACATCAACCGCATTAAGCAAACGCTTCCGCTTTTGGTCTACGAGGGTACGTGGACACACTCTACCCCTCTCGTTGCTATGCATCTCCTAGATAGATCTTCCGTGAGTGTAGGAATTTTTTGGAATGCATGCTACGTTTCCCAACAGTGGCATCCGAGCCAGGTCTATGCATAGATGATATGCACGAGTAGAACACAAAGAGTTGTGGGCGGTGATCATCATAGTGCTTACCACCAATGTCTTATTTTGATTCGGCGGTATTGTTGGATGAAGCGGCCCGGACCAACCTTACATAACCACGTTCATGAGACCGGTTCCGCCGATAGACATGCAACTAGTGTTGCATAAAGGTGGCTGGCGGGTGTCTTTTTCTCCAACTTTAGTTGAATCGAATTTGACTGCGGCCGGTCCTTGTGAAGGTTAAAACAACAAACTTGATAAAGTAACCGTTGTGATTTTTGTGCCGTAGGTAAGAACGGTTCTTGCTAGAAGCCCGTAGCAGCCACGTAAAACTTGCAACAACAAAGTAGAGGACGTCTAACTTGTTTTTGCAGGGCATGTTGTGATGTGATATGGTCAAGACATGATGAGATATACATTCTTGTATGAGATGATCATGTTTTATAAAAGTTATCGGCAACTGGAAGGAGCCTTATGGTTGCCGCTTTATTGTATGAAATACAAAAGCCATGTAATTGCTTTACTTTATCACTAAGCGATAGCGATAGTCGTAGAAGCAATAGTTGGCGAGACGACCACGACGCTATGATGGAGATCAAGGTGTCAAGCCAGTGAAGATGGAGATGATGACGTTGCTTTGGTGATGGAGATCAAAAGCACAAGATGATGATGGCCATATCATGTCACATATTTTGATTGCATGTGATGTTTATCTTTATGCATCTTATTTTGCTTAGTACGGCGGTAGCATT